GAAAACGAGGCGATCAAGAGGCGAGTGTATTCGTAGGCACGCGCAAATTTGCTTTTGAGAGCAGTCTGCTTAATCGAGTCTTCGAAAGAGCCGAAACGAGAGGATTTTTCTTCTAATTATTTCTCGATGCGGTCTCGATGATCGATCGGAGCAGCTGAGCGTTGCGAGCAATCCAATTTTCTCCAAACTGCATGTATGCGTGCGCATACGTGCGTACGTAGGCGTTCGCAATGTACACATACGAGCGTCGGCCGTGCAAATAGATAGCGAGCCAGAGCGACTATACCGTAGCTATTATACGAGTATTTCGAGTATTTCTCAAACATCGTTCGCCGTTCCTACTCGAAGCCTTGAGACCGTCTATACGTCTAGCAAATTACATTCCCACAAATCAAATTTACTCCTTTCGTCGAGATATTCCTCGATACGATAGATGCGATGCAAATTCGATCGAGAGTATTTTTGGAAAGCTGAATAAATGCGAATGCAGATTTCTCTCTCCTTCTTCTTTCTTTACCTCGCATATTTCCATTCAGTATCGAAGCTCTTTTTCAGCTGTGACGTTGGCGTATACAACTTGCCTTAGAGAAGAAACATCCTCTTGCTCGTAGCTTTGTTCCTTCTTCAAACGACTCTAACTAAGGTCAAGGTTTTTCCAGCCGCAGCAGCGAGAAATAGACGTGCAGAGAGAGAGAGAAGTAGAGAGACGAGACGAGCCATAACTAGAATATGCATGTATGTGTGTACGCGGCGCATAGCAACCCCTCGTGTACGTAGCAGATACTCGAACTTTGTACAGGACCAACACACACAGACGTGCATACATATTTATCGAGAGAGATAGAAAGAGGGAGGCGAGCTTGTAGCAGTCATCTCTCTCTCTCTCTCTCTCGAGTTAGGCGCGGTCGATAACGACTATTTACACCACTCCCATCTCGAGTCCCAGCTGTTTCGACGCGACACCTAGCGTCGGATCCGGCAAATTGCACTGCCTATACCAGCGCTGCGAAATAAACGTTTCCGCCAGATACGGGGGTGTTACCGCTGATACATACGCACGCATACATGCACACATAGCTTCGCTCCATGATAACGATTTTACGCGTGCTGCAGTTATATATGTGTGTATACAGCGGGAGGATCCCAATTGGGCCGTGACTCGATGGACTTTATTGATTGAAAGGGTTGCTCGAGCTCTCTATACAGCTGCTACGACGCCTACACCAGTTCATGGGAACGATAGTCACGGATTCTGCGATGGCTGCTGCTGCAGTCGCGCAGATTTAATATACGCGCGCACAGCAAAGACCAAGAGTTGAAGGATAAGATTGACGTCGGCTCCTCGAGAGTATATACGAGCAATTCGAGAAGAAATAACTCGCCGAGCGTAATGAAAGTCGAAAAGTTTTCATCGCTGACGCTCGTCGTTTTTCTTGCTACTACTGCTTTGCGCCGAGTCGTCGGCAGGAGACTCTGCCGCCTTTGCATGAGAAATCCATTGTCCTCCTTCCTGCATCCGAGTCTGGAATCTTTCGATCGAATATATCGCTCGAACTCGGTAACGAGATTCGAGTCGAGCATCGAAAAAATGAATGCCAATTAATCATTTCGCTGCAACTCGATGAGTTTCATTGCGTAAATCACCAACTAGTGCAAGTTGAGCGAGGCATGCCGTACTTTGGGAAAAATTCAACTTATCCTTCGCAATTCACATAAAGTATATGATTACTCGACACGAGAACAGACTTTTCATCGTGGAACTGTCTTCGCATTATAGATCGTTCGTATCTACACATTAGGGTGGCATTTATTTGCCAAGCGGTATGGAATCTCGGCTCCCTAGTTTTTATATTTTGGTTAAACCTCAAAATCATGCATGGTTATCTTTGACTAAATTAACTAATTCTATGAATGCGTAAGGCATAAAATAAGGACACTTGATGCGAACCGTGAATAATATTTCGAGCTCGATCGCGTCGAGGAATTTTTTTTATCAACGCGATCAAGGGTATATTTCGTGCTTAGCAACGACTGATGTGCTTCTGACTCCCATTATGCACAATATTAGTTTTATTTATTTATTTTTTTTTTTCGAGCCATAACGTAATGCATTTCACGCTCGACATTGTAATTTCATAGCGTCCCTCGCATTTCCTATCAGTTCCTCGCTGTATCGATTTTGTTGCGAAAACTTTCATTCCTGAACTGTCGTCAATTTGAGCAGATACATCGCCTGTAGCGCGCGCACGACAGAGTCGTCGACGAGGAGAAAATGTCGATGACTAAGCTAGCCGCGTTTTTGCGCTAATCGACGTAGCACCGACTGCCCTGATCGCCCTATATACTTTTCGCCCGTTATCTATTTCTGACTAAAAGCTTTGCCTCGTCAATTTCACTACTTCCTTCGAACGAGTTACGTAAATGTTTCGTCCACATACACGGATACTACATGCACCAAGTTCGCTAGATCATAACTATAACATCAACATTTTCCAAGAGTCGCGTCAGTTTTTATAGCAATGTACTATTTTATTTTACAGTTGAGTTTCATAGTTCATTCTTGGATGAAAAAGTAAAAAGGCTCAGAAAGATGAAAAAAAAAGTTCACAAATTAGAAGATCCGATATTTTTTGTAATATACATTTTCTTATAAATTTTCTTATAAAAAAATTGCAATTCGGGTAATTCTATGTTAAGGAAGTTGTTTTATTTGCCTTTATTTGCGCATTTATATTTTGCCTGTAGCAGATTGGCGCAAGTAATCTGTAATCCAGCGTAACTAGGCAAATGAAAATTCTGAGGTTTTTAGTTGCTAATTCAATGTTGGCTCTCCGATACCAAAAAGGTTCATGGTTGGCGTATATATCGATTAGATTAGCCTGACCCTTGAGGCATTAATTGAATCCGAATCATATCGAACGTTTTATCGTATTAAAACTTTTTCATCAGAAAGCGTAACGCAAGCCTAGGGCTCTTCGCTATATATGTTAGCCACGACGTAAGCGCAAAAGCGTGGGCGATCCATCAAGCGTATTACATTTAAATAACGTATATAGAGAGTGAACATGTGTAATCTCATCCCGGGCTGCCTTGATGAACACGTGCGCAAGCTAACTCGTACGTTTATAGCTTACTCTGCGTTTCATAATTCGAGCTTTTGGACGTCAATACACATGCTCGCTTTGGCCAGCTGCAATAAATCGATATTATACAAAGACCAAAGATTCGAATTTTTCATCTTATATTCTTTTTCATCGATCGTGCAAGAGTGTATTACGAGCATGAAAATGTATAGCTCGCAAGATACGAGAAAGAGAGAGAGAGTTGAAGCTGTATCGAAATGATACTTCCGACGAAGTGTATATAGCCGAGAGATTAATTCATATACGCGAGCCTCGGGCGCAGACGCGCTCGCATTATGTATCTGTATAGACATATCAGTGCAGAATAAAAGTCCATTTGCAGCTATAGTTGTGGATGAGTATACGCATGACTGACGTCAACGAAGAACGACATATCGGAAAAAAATATTCGCTCTCTCTTTCTCTCTCTCTACTTTTCTATAGAGACGCGCACGCATCACACGAGCTCTTATGATTTCTGCTTTCCTCTCTCTCTCTCTCTCTTTCTTTTTTTTCTCGAGCATCATTGTTTTGCGGCGCTCGTTGGTTAAATTATTTAGTGCTCTCTACATTTATGGTCAATATAATTGAATAATCGATGGTCATGAATTATTTTTGGCCTTTTATGAGGTTCAATTGGTACTGATCTTTTTTTGGAGCTTTCTCGCGCAGGAGCGAGACGGAGCTTATTTCGAGTCACGCGTAAAGCACATCTGCTGTTTATTTGTTTATAACGAGGTCGGCCTTTGCGAATCGAATGAAAAAAGCACGAGCTGCGATAGAGAAAATTTGGTTCTCTCATCGCACAACGCCAAGCTCCCAGACTCGTGATAATAATTTTGCCAAGCCCTGATGTGCGTCCGCTGTATGCATCCTATGCTTATGCTGCACGTATGCTTGATTGATTGAACGGTAATTGTATCATCGTTTGACCTGGCTCTGCGCACGGCAAGCTTCGTTCTTGGAATATAACTCGCGAGCGAACTCGCTGTGTATAACAACCAGATACGTTTATTATCTGCTGCTCTCGCTGCGCATGTATACATAAATGAGAAAATCGTCTGTTTATTGTGAACACAAGCTGAATATATAAATATATTTTGGCGCGAGTGCGCACGTGAATCGAACGACGCGAAAGTTGAGGCATCATTATACATTCGCGATCTCGCTCGTACACATTTGTCGTTTGTAATATCGAGAAGAGTTCCGAGAAAAATGCAGACTCGATGCACGATAGGCGCAATATTTATTATTGCGAGTGATTTCCCCTGCACCGCGCTTAATTTGTCACAATCGGTATTGGATACTCGAATACGAACGAGGAATTAAATAATCTGCCACGTCGTCGCGAAAAGTCGAGATAATGCGTCTGGGAAAGTTTTTCGTTTTCGCTTTTCTTTTCGTTCGCACACCTAACTCGGTAAGCAGAGTAAAAAGCACTGCAAAAGACTCTCTCTCACATCCGACGTGCTTGACCGTCGTCGGCCACTACGATACTCACGCGCGCGTGCACGAATGAGTATTATAATCTGGCGAGCTTAAAGGTACATTTGCGCGCGCGCGCGTGTGTGCGTGCATGGCTGTAAGCACGACTGGCGCGTAAAATAGCAGGCTCCGCACGTGCAAACATTGCACCGCGAGTGTGTGCGTTGTTTTTTTTTAACACGCGCGCGACGTCTGGAGAAACAGTAGTCGCTTTGCGCTTTTTTTCCCCCCGAGTTTCTCGCGCTGCATCAGTGCAGTCTCTGATGTGCTACACGCAGCTCGTCTGCGGAGATCTCGAGAGATTAAAGATCGCGTTTTTTGCTTCTTCGCGCTCGCGCCACAAGATTGCAAGCTTGGCTCGAGCAACTAATAAATGAATCTTTTGTGTTGCAGTACTGAGGCTCCACTGCGAGTCCGAGTCCTTCAAGATGGATCTCATTCTGGACATCAACAGCTGGCTCTACCCGATGGAATTAGGTGAGTACCCGAGAACAATCGCTCCTCTGTGCCTCGCTCGTGGTGATGTTACATCCAATCTAAACGATCCCTTCCGCACGATTCGCACAATCAAACGTATTGAGTGCTGAGCCGTGAAAAATTCAGATCTAGGCTACTGCAAATCCTCCATGCGTGCAACTGATACATCACTATGTGCTCTTATTTTTTCATTTTTTTTCCATCAACTCATTGAAACATTTCATAAAACGTTTGCGTTTAATTATTCAATTATTTTTGTGTTAAGCGACACATGCACATAAACGCGAGAGCACATTTTCCACAAAATTTACGACTCTCGTATAAATTCTGTTAACAATTATTTATTGCAATAGATAACAGGAGCCACTTGTTCAGAAACATATTTGGTTGCCTAGTTTCTGTTATTTTGCATAGGCTCGTTTTTTACACTGCATTGGATTTCAATTTGGTTTACGAAACAAACAACACATAACTAGAAAAAGATTGTAAGCTTAATATTTTATTTTTAAATATTAAGTTCGGTTTAGTTAATATATTACTACTCCGGGTAAATCAAGGCGGACAACCTTCATTTTTATCACAAAAATGTAAATAATTCATGGGAGAAAATTTTACAAAAATTGTAAACGATTGTATTATTTGCATAGAAAATACGATTCCGTATTGAATTTTGGAGAAGCTTCATTTTTTGTATCCCATTATAAATTGGAAATATTAGCGTTGTATTGAGTGTGTGTATAATTTTAAAGCTTGATATAAAATAATTAGTAATGAGATCGGTAAATTATTGAATAATTCATATTCAATGCTCAGTCACTTGGAGTTAGTTTATACCTTGCCAAGCGACCAAACAAAGAGCAATCGATACGATGTAAAATAGATGCTATAATACGATTTTGAGCTTCCCCAAGATTCGATGTTTTATTGTACGCGCAGTAAAAAAAATCAAGATTCTCAAATGTCACGAAGGTGCTAGTGTGAAAAAACTACACGCTAGATAGAAGCTACGTGTGGTTTTTGTGAAAAAAATCTCGATACCGCTCAATGGTTTCCTAAAGCCAAAAAAAAAATCGATTCGTCCAGATCGCGAGATTTTGACTAGAAAAAAAAAATAAATAAATAAACTCTCCGAAAAAGGAAGGTTTTCTCTGCGGCGACCCCAGGAAAAAGCCACATCCTTTCTGCGTTCGCCCGTGCTGGGATATCGGTGCAGGTTCGGGCGAGCGACCAACCAACACGCGCGATATATCGGGCAACTCCTATATTATATCGACGCGCGCTGAGATCCTAAGTTCGCGAGAGGGGTGGTTCTCTCTCCACACAAACGCACACACTCTCTCGTTTTGCAAAATTCACATCTAGCCAAGTAGCATTAGAGCGAGTGCGTCAGGGTGTGAGTGCGTGCGTGTGTGGCTAGGCCGTCGCGTGGGGGGAGAGGATCTCCGGGACTTGCGCGAAATGACGCAACCGGGTGTCTCCCACTACCGGTGCGGATTTGGCCTCGGCGGTGGTGGCAGGCAGTAACGTAGCCAACGCCGGCCGGCCCGCTTCAGCCTTAGCTAGCTCGGCTCGGCTCGGCTCGCTCGGCAGCAAGCAAGCGCCGCAGTGCTCGCTTCCCCTCGCTCGGCAAGTTCAATGCCAAGGTCAGCTTTGTAAGCGCTCGCTCGCTCGCGCGATTGGCTTCTACCGTCTGTCTGTTTCTCTCTGCGCGCTTGTCTATGTGTGTGCGTGCGCGGCTCTCTGCAGTACTACTATATGCTATATGCTATGTGTGTACACCCGTGAGTGACTTTATCGTTCGATTCGTATACATTATACACTGCTGCGCGCCGCCGTCGTCGTTGTGTTGTAGTCGTCGTCGTCGATGTAGTCGTTCGTCGTTGTAGTCGTCGTCGCAGCCGCTGCCGTGCCGCCGCTCTGCACACTCGTTGTTCTTTAGCCGCGTCATTTTTTCCGAGCAGCTCCTGCTTCGACATCGTCAAGCTCTCTCTCTCTCTCAGCCGCAAAACTTCTTTCTAGCCGGTTCGCCTATATATCTCGTGGATAGTTTTTTTTTTGTTTATAACTTTTTTGCCGCCATTCGCCGCTCTACCGTCGCTCCGTCTAGTCGTATCTCTTTTCTGTTTCTCTCTCTCTCTATCCTCTCTTTTTCTCGTCGTGCGCGGGGAGAGGACTGCACGTCGCGCGAGCCGAACGATATGGCGAGAATCGAGATTGCTAGCAATCGAGTGGAGCGAGTTGAATCGACCCAAGTCGGAGGCAAAGTCGCTGCAGCTGCAGCTTGGGAAAAGCAGAGAGCCGAGCGATGCAAGGTGTATATGCGCGTCGACGGCGAGATTGTCGAGTGAAACCGTAAGTAGTCTGCAAAGAAAATAATCAAGTCCAGCTGTGCTTGTGCGAGAGACCACAGTATGTTTGCTCGTTTGTTCCCGCGACGTTGTTAACTGTCCTTGCTTTTATTGGGAACGTTGTTTACACGAACGCTCGAAATACGTGTTAAAATTGCGCGCGACAGGACACTGCGTTTTCTTTTACCTTGTTTTTTAAATGTATATAATATTGTATAAATACGACTTTTAAATTCGCGCGAGTGACGAACGATCTGACGGAGACGTGTGATGTCATTGCGGCTATTAAGTTTATGTAACTTTCGTAAACATTAAAAGAAGTAAAGTCAAGACGCGCTATTAATTATTCGAACGATCCTCCGGGTATTTTTGGCGCGCCAAGACGATATCTGACGTGCAATTATGGATGATTTAGGTGCGCAGAGCTGCGCGCGCACTCGGCCGCTGGAAAAATACGCGAATGCGATATATATATTTCAGGCGCGTAGCCTATGCTAGTATTGCACGTGAGACCTTTTTAGTATCGATGTACGCTCGAGAAATACAAATGTCATCTATACGTTCGTAGCGACGATTTTTTTTTTTACATCGTACTTTGGTTAAAACGTATCGCGATCTGGGAGTCGAGCTCGCGCGTTGTATATGCGCTCATCGATCAAAAGCTCGCTTATTTACTGCGAATATTAATATTCGAATAAAGCTCCCGGCCCCGCGATGCTCAACGATAGATTATCGCACTCGTGCGTCACGTTTTATAATACACACGCACACATACGTGGGCTGTCCACGGCGCGTGTAATGCACACACACGAGAGGGCAAGTGCGTGCGTCATCGCGCGCAGCAGCTCCGGAGCAACTGAAAGCCTGTACCGCCTCACCTTTTCGCGCACCCATTATTATTATCATTATCATTATTATTATTATTATTATTATCGGTACCATATGTATCTGTTTTATCGTGTACAAAAGCTCGCGCTCGCGTGCACGCGCACGTGTCCGCGCGATTTGAAAAAGTTTTTTGCGCTCCGAGCTCTGCGAGCGGATGAACGAGAGAGAAAAAAAATTAAAGCGAACGCGAAGTCGCGTTTATATTATCGACGCTGGAAAAACTGAAACCTTGACATTGACTCTCGCCGACGAGCACGAGCCTCGTAACGCATAGCACGAGAGAGACTCGTTCCAAGTTTTTTTTTTCTCTCGTATCTAAACCTCCTCTCGCTTTATGGAGCACAAGCTCGCGCGAATACTGAATCCTGAATAATTCAACGCACAAACAGCTAAACGAGTCAGAACGAACGATAAAAATGAAAAGAGAAACGAAACTCATATTTTATACATATATACTGGCTGGTACTGAGAGATAATGATAGGAAATATCGCTTGGCAAAAGTCAATGAGTGAGAGAGAAAGAGCTTGGGTTGGAGCGCGCGCGGGCTTTTTTGTTGATAAATAAAACGAAAATTGCGCGCGAGCCACGCGGAGAGACACGTCGTGTCGTCGCGCGATTAGAATATCCAAGTTTAAAAATATATACAAATTCTTTTCGGAGTGTCTTCGCGATAAGGAACATAATACAATATGTTCGTGTACACGCCGAGCTATACTCGCCGAGTCGCTCGCTCGCTCGCGGAATATTACATAATATTCGCGTACACACGTTACGATGATAACACTCGCTGCCGAGAACGCACACACAAACACACACGCACAGACGCATACACATTTGCACACTCACTCACACGCAAGCTTATCCAATTACTTTTAAAGCGTTCAAAGTCAGCTGAGTACATTACACGACGTTCATTCGTTTCGTTCGCGCGCAACGACAGTTTTCCCAAGTATGCTGCATGTAGCTCTCCTTAATTTTGTAAGAACAACAGTGCAGAGCTAGGAGCTAAGTTGTCAAGGTCGGCTCGCATTTTCGACGCGACAAATTGTCGTCTCTCTCTCTCTGCGATCACGTTCTCTCGACGAAAAATATGAATGTGTACAGCGCCTGTTCGCGATTATCTTGTAACTACCCGCGCTCGCACCGCTTATATAAAAAGAAGATGTAAAGAAACACTCGCTTACGAGCGCGTGCGGTTGCACTCGGAGATCTCACCACCGCAAAAGTTTTCGAGAGAAAAAAAAACGACGCAATGATTGGACGAGTGCACGTAATTGATTCAATTATTTGCATTTGCAGGTGACAAATTCCGCTTGGTATTGGCTACGACTTTGAGAGAGGATGGCTACCCCGATGGCGGCGATTGGAATCCCGCTGACGTGGACACCAGCTCGAGAGCGAGCTCGTTCGAGTACGTGATGTCCGGCAAGGTCTACCGGATAGAAGGTGATGAGGCCAACAACGAGCCTAGCAGTCGATTGTAAGTTCCCGTTTCCTTTATTTTATTTCTCTTCAACATTTCTTGACTTTCTTTATCATTATAAATTTATGTCAGTTCGACACGTGCCGATCGTTGATCGTCCAATTTCCTTCATTTCGTTATTATATTCATTGAGATAGAGCGATTTTGATGATCTATAAATTGCACGCGCATCGTGCATCGTTAAAAAAAAGAAACGTGTTGAAATAATCGAGGAATTCGAAACTAAATTTGTACTTGAAAAAAAAAACATACACGTGCCCCTGAAAATATTCAATCTATCTTATTTCAATAAATGTTGGTTCTTCTACTAGAGGGTTTTGAGCGCAATATGAGAGAGTATGAAAGAGTGGCCCGCTTCCAACTAAAAATACATCTCGCGCGTAAAAGCGAAAAGGCAATATCAAATGCACACAAAGAAAAAGAAAGAGAGAGCGCGGAATCATGCAGAATAAATGCCGCACTGAGCTTAGCTCTCGATATATACATACGATCGAATATTATATACGTAGTCGCTTTTGGCTCGCTACTCCTAAACACCTGGACTTTACGACTTCCTTGACGGATGGCTACAACACTTTTATTACATCGTACAAATGTGACATTTATACTTCTTAATAATATTTAAGCGTCATCTACTTTTGACATTTTATCGATTCAGCATTTAAAGAACTTGGATTTTTTTTGTAGTAAATGAATTTAAACGAATGTAAGGACGTACGTTTAAAAATATCCCGGTACTTCGGGAGTACGGCAATCGATGATTCGTATCTACTTGAACAAAGTAGAAACGAAGTGCGATCAAGGCCTCGTAAAGCGAGAACGTAAAGTACCATATCGTAAAACGCCTGCTCAACATTCGAGGGAATTGCAAGAGAGTATCACGGTAGCATCCGAAGCGCATTTATATCTCTCTCTCTCTCTCTCTCTCGCGTGTAACTTCGCTTTGATCTTCATCCAATACGTTTATTTTGCATATCATTTGTCAAGGCAGTTTGATCGTTTGTATATGTGTGTGTGCGCACGCTGAGATTGGGAATTCCCATGTCTCGTTGCCACTTTGGCTTAGTTATTTTTCACCTTCGGAAAATAGAAAACGATACAGCGTTGCGCAGCATACAAATTCGAACAATCGACTGCTTCATCTGGCGCGTGCCACTCGGGCACCGTTATTAGAAACTATACAAAATGCTGCATATAGGTACGATTTTATCTGGAAAGAGCATCATTTCGCATGCGACTGTTTGCTCTGCCAGCGACGATTTACTTACAAGTTTGCAAGTATTATGGACATTTCGTACAAAAAGCTATTCTGGGTATTTTAATGGAATATATTCGATGGTATTCTGAATTGGTGATGAACTCTGAAATTTCTTTATTCTATTCATAGATCATTTATAAAGTTAAATTTGTGCTCTGCTATGCACTACTGCTGCCTCTATAAAGGAAAAGTTAAATAAACGCTTGTAGCTGCAAGCTCTCTTCCTTTCACTCTTTCTCTTTTTCTTATATTCATCATGACGTATTACCTTAATTATTTGAAATTTACTTACAAAATGCAAGTACACAAAGAGGATATGAAGAATAACGAAATTTTGTCCTCTATCGTGTTTTACAAGATTATACATTTTTTCGCATTGTCCTTGACTGTAAGAATTTCGAGTTAGAGACAAAGGGAAGCGAGGCGAAGAGTTTTACTAGAGAGCCATTTTCAAGCTCTAATTGTCGTTAAAGGAACAGGTATTACACTTTTATAATCGCTTTCACTGAGTAGCTGGCTTAAGACCATTTGTACCTAAAGCTCGCTTTTACTTCATTAGACCCGAACATAATCCTTGAAAAAGCTCGCAGCTCTGCCATTGATTTTCGTTTTATTATTCAAAGGGACGTAAAATGCCACACGCACTATATAATGTAGAACAAAAAATGAAGGAAAGAGCAAAAAAAGAAGCAAAATTGCGAGCGGAAAATGAGCAGAAAATAAAAGGGATGCGAGTCACGAGCGAAAAGCAGGAAAAATGAAAAGAAAAACGAGTCTGGAGCGTGTACGTCTATATGTATGATTGTGCTGCGAGCAAAAGAGTGAAACACGTGCCAGCAGCAACGGTGGTGGCGGCGGCGGCGGCAGTAGCAGCCGCTTGACCTTGAAGGCCTGGCCTTCTGTCCTTTGAGCTTCATCGATCGCTGCTGCTTTACTGTTTCGTCTGTATAGAGCTCTGCGCACGCGCGCTCCACTTTCGCGAATGGACAAAGCTTTTCTGCACGCGCGTCCACGTTCACGCATATACATACGTAGAGAAACCTTTATGAAATATACAAATAAATTGAATTGGATGAATGTGTAAATGGACTTTTTTCGTTGACTTTTTTGCTCCATTCTTGCTGCATCTAAAATTGAACAGGAAATTGCGGGACCGATCGATGCGGTGTATAATTTTCTCTCGAGCGTAAGAACTGGTCTTGAACATTTTTTTCGTTTTTTTCTCTCTTTTTTTTTTTTTTTCATTTACCTATGCTATGAGCAACGTAATGTGCGGTTTTTAGAATGTTCAGGATGTGATTTTCTTCCTCTCTTTTCTTGCCTTCACTCTGCGTTGTATAGAGCGAGGATTGAGTTATAATACAACAAAGAAAACCAAAATGCTTATCGCAAAGTTTTTTACGGTCTCGCGTAGCTCGGCTATTCAAATGTACTATTCACGCTTTTATTCGGATCGACGCTCATCCGTCCGTACTTATCTCGATTTATGGATATATCGACGTTTTGCGAGTCGCGAGATGAATTTCGCTTCGGCATTTCCAACAAAAAGCTAAACATCACAATAACGTAGATAAATTTGAAACAAATAAAACAAAAAACTCCAAGCAAAAAGATACTGGACTGGAATTTTTTTATGCTTTTTTTTCGAAGGTCCGAGCGTAGAAAGCGAGAAAGAACAATGTCAAAGCTGCCTCGTTACGTCGGTAAGGGCGGAGCCGACGGTCAACTACGATGGCAACTATTGCCATTACAGGCTCCGAGCCGCTGCTACCGCGGTAGCGCACAAGCTCGAAAGATCGTCAGTAGCTACGGTAGCACTACAGAGAGCGAACTTGATGTAAAAGCGCACGCAATGCGCGACAATTTTGCCAGGCCTGCTACAGCGAAGAAGATGGAACGAGAGAGAGATGGCACTTAGAGAACAGGGAGCCACTCTGTGTTCACTCGGCAGGTAAAGAAGCGGGTGAACACAGCTGGTGGTATCTCAGTTTTCTGAGGGCGCTGCACACGCATCGACATTTTCAGCGCAGCTCGACAGCAGCAGCAGCAGCAGCAAGCACAAAACCTGTTTTACTCGTTTCGACTTTGCAATTCGAATTTTGCGCTACGGTGCTTCTTGCGACGATTCTCATTTGTTTCTATGAGCGACAAAATTATTAAGCTTCGATATTTGTCGCGATTTTAAATCTTACTGACTACGAATTTTATGATATAATTATTGCTATTTGTTCTTTGAAAATATTATCTAATAATCGATAAGTGTCATAATGTTAAAAGTCATCTCGTCTGTGAAGCAAGCAAGATTATAATCTAGAAAAATTGTACTCGATGTACCATTAAATGAAAATCAATACCAGCATCGAAACGTTGTAAAACTCAATCCTGCGCTTTTTCTCAACCAGTCTGAAATTACAGGATAGTAGAGAGAGAGAGAGAGTGGCAAGTCCTCAGCCTTCGAGCGTCTGCCCATATCCGTCGCTTACTACTTACTTTCCTTCATAAAAGCCTAAACGACACATTTCTCATCCATAACATTGATATTAATAAGCATACTGAATAGGCGAGTCGTCCACCAAGGTTCAGCTTGTACATAATAGATACTAGACACACGAGCGTCCGTGTGTGTGTGTCTGTGCATGCGTCCGAGTGTATGTCGTACGGCTGTTTAGTCAATTAGCGACGACGCTCCGTCGCTTAGAATTGCACTCGTGCGTCAAGCGTAAAAACTGACATCATCGTCCTTTAGGTGCGGCAGCGCGCATACACGTACATCTATATTCTATCTCTCTATGGCTCTTTGCACTATAGGTGCATGCCGCGTACGTACGAGTATGTGTGCATTATACGAGCGCGCGCATTGGCACATCCATGCGTACACGCCCACGCGCCAGTTGAAAAAGTTCTTGTTGCCTCGATCGTATCTATTGTGAGTTGTAAAGCTCGCGCGTCGTACTCGCGCGTCGTACTCGCGCGTTATCAATTGGTCGACGGTCAGCGAGAAACAAAAACAAATTTCATCGAGTGACTCTCGGCTAAGTCCAGGGATACAATAAAGCTCATCGAAAAAGACGTTGTCAGTTGCAAAATTTTACCTTCTGCCGATTATAATTTCAGCTGTGATTAAGTGCCATGACTCGCGCGTACGCCGCTGGAACGAATTTCATGACCCATTTACCTCTGCGCGCACGATGCTATACGCGCGCGTTGTATGGCGTCTACCTCATATACGTAGGCGCGTGCAATAGCGCTCGTTTAATAATCCATCCAATAAAATCCTACGAGCCCGAGCTTCGGTAATCAAAGACGCCCGTTTCTGATGTGTGCATATGTGCGCGCGTAAAAAAACCTCATTCTCTTCTGATTTTCTTCTTAGCTCGCTGGGGAAAAAAAGGACCAATGCAGAGTAGCAAAGAATTAGCCCAGGCATGCCACGGTGGCTTGTGTACGGAGATACATACACACGTAGACTGGAGCTGCATTATATAGAGAGTGCAAGTCACGACCTACTTTCCCATGCACGAGCATACATGCCTATAGTCTGTCGAATTAATTAAGCGAAAGAAGGAAATAACGAATTAGTGCCTCTCCCTCCGTCTCTTTCTTTCTTTCGCTTCCATTGGCGATATTACATATCGAATTCGTTGAGGTCGCAGTTCGATACACATCGGCTGCAGGGCGAGCAAAATTCCATCCTAAATTATCGAGTTGCGATATGCCGCTGCGTTATTATCAGTTGCAG